TCGCGTCGTTCCCTTGTAAAGGTTAAAATTGTAATATTATTATGACGTCAAAATTAATCAATGTTCATCGAAAATCGCGGTTTTCGATAAACTAAGCTTTTTAACATGATTCAGCCTCGTTCAATTGCAAAACCTAAAAACTCGTTAATTACTTCATATGCAAGACGTTACTCGCGATGGTAAATCCTGACAGAGAAAAGTTATCGTGCACGTCAACAGAAATTTATTAATATCTTTGAAGCGAACGTCATAACATTAGATAATGCGTTGTAAAAACGCGTGTTGCGTTACAATGCACATTCTACGCGATGACGCGCGTTGATATAGACAGCAATAATGATTTATGGTGTATTAGTCGTTATTATGACTTTCTATCGAACAATCCCGCTATTTAATAATGTAGAGGCAAGAAAAGAACAGTTTAAAAAGTTTACTGCCAATAAATTGCGAGAATAATCCGCGTTTTGCAGCATACACAGATTATTCAAGATCCTTCAGCTATTTTCTGATTTCCACGAATTCTTCCATCAATGTAGAGTTAATTTATCCCTAATAAAGAAATATTTAAATATTAACATAGTGTTGCCTACTGAATAAATGATAAATTTATCACGAATTAAATTTCCACAATAAGAACAAAAAATGCAAAAATTTATATGAATACCGATTTCAAATGAATCTTGTTTCGTCACAGAATAAACTCAAAGGTTAATTGAAAAAGTATTTAAAACTGAACGATCGAGTTTGAATTAATAAATGAACAATTACCGGATAAAAAGGATAAATGAAAGTGAGTTCTTTAATCACTCTGTACATTCATTTGCGTTAAATGAATTCTGGTTATGACAAAAAGACTCCTCAGCTTTCGTCGAGAAAAAAATTTGCCGCTGATATCGCTCATACAGAAAAACGCAAGAAACAGGGAAAAGCGATAGATGTGCGAGACGCATGGCCCGCGATCCCAGTTTTTCGCTTCCGTGAACAAGCTCATCGTACAGATTATTCCTTAAGTTGATATTCCTACTGCACCGAGAGATAATAGATTATCTGACGGAAAGTCGATTTAGAAATAGAGAACCGTATATCAAGATAAGAACTTTCTATATTTGTCCGTTTAGAGCGATGCATCAGAAACTTTGACGAATAATGTGAATGGAGATGTCAAACGGGTTCAGAAAATTCAAACAATGAGAATAGCTCGAATAACGTAAATTCTATGCGGTCTGTGCAGTTTACTTTCATTGTCATCCGATGAATAATTCGCGAGAAATAAAATAAAATCGCACTCAGTATCACAGGCTGCTCCTCGCCCTGATGAAGTGAATGTTCACGAAACGTTGGCATTCTAAAAATGTATTTGAACACGGAGATAACCTGCAAAATGCATAATTTTTGTATAGAAAGTGCTCATATAGGAAGCCTCAAGAGTATTATCGCATTTTTATCTCACTGACGCGAATCGAGTTAACATTGACCAAAATTAAACAGTTATTTACTATTGAAGAAGATATTACTCAAATACTGAAAAATTTCGTTAAACTTGAAATAATTCGGATTCTAAAGATTGAAATACAATTCTCGATGCTTACGATCACTTCGGGGCACCCTGTATCTCGTCGACATGCGTGCACGGGCCCGCTTGTTCGATCCCCAACAAGCGGAAGTTGAGGGTCGCATAAGCTCCACCTTCTCTTCCACATCGGCGGAAGATAAAGGAAGAAAATGGGGGAGGAAGCGGGTGCTGTGATGCATGCGAATTGCATCGCGCGGGACGAGGACCTGTCTAATGCATGCTGTATCCTATCTATATGTAGAACAAACCTATCGTATCTCACGTTCAGTTGTTAAAAGTGAAAGGGGTACTTTGAACGTACAAAAATTACGTACGGTTCATGACTCGAACATTTCGCTTCAAAATTTTTTTTACTTTTTGCCTTCTCTCTAAAACTTTTAGAACTGATACTCTCAAGAATGAAATCTCACTCTTAAAAATTGAAAATTGAGCCACTCTTTTTCAAGACTGATTCAATTTTCACTTTTTAGAGTGAGATTTTATTTCGAAGAATTTAAAGAATTTTGTATTAATCAAATTACACATTAAATTAATTTTAGATAATCAATAGCGATGATAAAAGTTTTATAGGATTAGAAATATAAGGCCTGTTCTTTATTGAACAACTCTCTGAACTAAGTCATCCAAATTTCTTCATGTGGACAAATTTTAATTGTTCTCTGCTTGTAGCGGACTACTCTATGCAGCTGTTGGCAATCCCGTTCAATCGGTGTGCGCGCGGGCAGTCGGCAATGCTACAAAATGAAAAACCACATTCGGCTCAGTGAATCGCGTGAAGGGGAGAGATAAAACGAAATACACAACATTCGAGGACTCGTGCGCATCTCGTCCAATCCTGGAAAGTGATGGAAAAAAAGAAAAGAACGAAAAAAAGTATTCGACGAAATCATACGAGCAAAAGTGAAGAGTAGAAGAATTCAGAGCCCGGAATCGAAAGTCGAAATAAAATAATTCGCAAGAGTGAAGACGACATATTTAAATCGAATCTCGTAAATTGATTTATTCCGCGAATTTCAACTCTGTTATGAATAAGTTTCTCGCATTTTTTACGTTAATTGACAGATATGAATAAAGCGGTGTTGTTTGTACATATTTAATTTAATAGTGAAAAATAAAGATCCACTCGCGCTCCTTTTAAATTGTACACACGGAAAGAGCAATTTCACTGAAGAATCTAAAAATTTAGCTACACGGAGAAAATTTTATTAAGTTTTAATACAATTTTAAATTACGCTTTACTATGTCTTGTATTTTCGACTCTCACAACATAATTCCGACTTAACTTTTACTATGGTAATACTAATTTTTATCACATAAATAAAAATTATTTTGTTAAGCTATATTATAACATGAAAACAGTTGATTTTTACTATGTACGCAAACAAAATTTGCTAGGTATATTTGATTTTGTAATAAAAAATCTTTACTATAAAAACGTGTAAAAATTACGTTATATTATTGTTTTTAAAAAAATAACTATAGCATTTCAACTTATAATTGTATATATACATATACAATATTATATATATACAGGGTGTTACAAATACATACTAGGCAGTACGACGGGTTGCGCGACAAACTTTGCATGGCCAAGCGTGGTTTAATATACAATGACAGTGACTTTATACATTATAAAGTTTATACTACAAAGTTTTATTATTTATATTATAAAGTTTATGTTATAAAGTCACTGTCATTGTCTATTAAATCACGCTTGGTCGTGCAAAGTTTGCCGCGCAACCCGTCGTACTGCCTAGTATGTATCTGTAACACCCTGTACATGAAGACCGCAACTACTACTACATTATAGTAATTTTAAATATAAAATTTTCTCCGTGTACATACACAAATCTGAAAATAATTTTGTTGAACCATCAAAATAATTAGGTAGGACGACAAAATTGGTTGCAAGAATATCAAAACCTTTTACAACATTGCTCACCATACTTAAGATTCCTACAAAATTATTTTGATGGTCCAGCATTATTTTCAGATCTGTATCTATTATAGCTAAATTTTTAGATTCTTCAACGAAATTGCTCTCTCTCTCTCTCTCTCTCTCTCTCTCTCTCTCTCTCTCTCTCTTCGTGTATCAACTTCCATACAAACATATAAACATGCACGCGAGTTATATCGTTAAGCGTAGCATTTAAAATAATTATTGTTATTCCGAGCGTGGAAATTTATTCGCGACAATTCGCGTCTCGACCGCGTTCTCGCGATCATGGAATTTTCTCACGCCCCATCGTCATCACGTAATTATATCAGCGTGTGCGACGGGCATAACTCTGTAGCTTCATTCACGATAATTGCATTGCGCACAAATCCTTATTGCTATCATTATGATAATTGAAGTTCCCGCAGCACGACGAAACGTGACTTTCGATTATACGAACGTATGTCGATCCCGCGAAACGCATCTTTGGCTCACGAGGACAGCCGCGTAATACATCATCTCGGTATTATTGCATCGTTATTTTATTTGACGTCATTGCATAAATACATTTTTATGAATTTTATAAACACATCTATAATATTATACTATTAATCGCACCTTTGCATAAATTCAAAAGTTTTCTAAAATATTTGTTAAATTAATGTTTAAAAAATCGAGAGAGAGATTGGAAGAACTTTTAAATATATTATTAGAAATTTCTAAAAGAATATATTGCACGAAGAAATTATAAATATTAAAACTATTCAATTCCTTAAGTAAAATTTAAAATCTTTTTGCTTCTGCAGAACGTTGAAATTTTTTTTGTTACCAGGAAATATATTGTTCATTAAAAAAGACATATCAGCATTCATCGAAAAAATATATTGTAATTCAAATTCGATGTTTAAAAAAAAAATGTGTTAACGTTTCTTTCAAATATGACTTAAATGTTAATGTTTGGAATTTTTCAAAGAAGAGTTGGAATTCTAACTGATTGAAAACTATCGAATTTAATACTAATTGTGTACGTGAAATTAGCTATGCCCAGAGTATTTAGAGATAATCTAGAATTATTGATGCACTTTTTGCCTCCTCTCGTCCATGCAAACGTTATGGAGACAGAAAATAACTGGTCGTGATGAATTGGGATTTCGTAAATGGAAAAATTTTTCGTCAGCGCAACAAATTGATTATAGTCATTTCCCAATCGAACGGCCGCTAATTACATTGTCGCTGTGTTACAGCGAGCACAGAAGACCGCTAATTAACCCGTTATCCCTGTAACTTAACGGTTGGGTATCCTGTATACTTACGTAATTCGCGGCGGTTGGATCTATCGCGCAAGGCTTTCATTTATAAAGTTTATCAAGGCAATGCGATTATACAAGGCCATTGACGTGGTTTGCTATCACGCGAATCCATTTACCTACTTTCCGATCATCAACACGCCTGCACTCTTCGACAGGACGTCGTTCGTAATGCACTAATTGAATGTCGGCCAATGGTGAGTGACTCTCCCCACTGGATTTACTACTTGCAACCGATCAATTGTAACTACAGTGATCGACAAAGCTTAGTCTCGAGCTAATGTAACCTCGTGATCTGTATGCAAATTTTATTCGACGATTCTCCCGGGAAAATTTCAGGCTTTCAATCACTCAAATTAGAGTTTACTTACAGATAAAAAACTAGTGTATTCATTCGTATCTTTGAAATTTAATTTATAGTAATAGGGATGTCGCAAGACGAGACAAGACGAGATTTTAGGAAATATCGTCTTGTTTTGAAAAAATCTTGAAATGTATATTCTTGATCTCGAACTCGAAAATCTTGTCTTGTCTCGAAATTCTCGACAATCTAAATAATGCGTTGTCTACAATACACGAAGTAAGAAGTAAGAGTAAGAAATTGACCAATTACAATCGATTATTCTTCTCAGATTTGATTGTAATTGGTCAATTTTTTACTCTCTTACTCCGTGTATTGTAGACGATGCTTAAGTATTTGCGTAACGTCTGTTCCATTGGGAAGGTTATTCTCTACAGTAGGATTAATTATAACAAAACATAGAAATAGATTATGCGAGGAATCAGCGAGATCCCTACTTTGTTTAAATTCATGGGCTACATGTTCAATATCTAAAAT